CCTTTGCGTCTGGGGATTTGAGGGCCAGAGGGCCCAAGCCACCTCCTAGGTTGTTCCCCTTCCCTTCCCTCCCTCCCATCCTCTCCTGTCGCCTCTCCCCCAACTTCTTTTTCCCCCACTTATTCTTTCACTCCTTTCCTCATTCCCTCTCTTCCTCCCTTTGTTCTTTCTACTCTCTTTCTTTCTTCCTTCTCTCTTTCCAAGCTTCCATCAGCAATACGTGATAATTTCATTTGTTTTACGTCTCATCACTGGCATGTGACAGTGATAGTGGTGGTGATGACAGACATAATGATGGTGATGGTGACGATGGTGTTGGTGATGACGGCGATAACAGTGGCGATGGTGATGATGATGGTGATGATGGTGTTGATATGATAATGGTGATGATGGTAGTGCTGGTGGTGGTGGTGGTGATGATAGTGATAGTGATGATGATAGTGATGGTGATGGTGGTGATAATGGTGGTGGCAGTGATGATGGTGGTGATGATGGCGGTGATGGTGATGGTGTTGGTGTTGATATGATAATGGTGATGATGGTAGTGCTGGTGGTGGTGGTGGTGATGATAGTGATGGTGATGATGATAGTGATAGTGATGGTGATGATGGTGTTGGTGATGACGGCGATAAAAGTGGCGATGGTGATGATGATGGTGATGATGGTGATGGTGTTGATATGATAATGGTGATAATGGTAGTGCTGGTGGTGGTGGTGGTGATGATAGTGATAGTGATGATGATAGTGATGGTGATGGTGGTGATAATGGTGGTGGCAGTGATGATGGTGGTGATGATGGTGGTAATGGTGATGGTGTTGGTGATGGTGATCATGGTGGTGGTGGTGGTGGTGATGATAATAGTGATAGTGATGGTGATGGTGGTGGTGGTGGTGGTGGCAGTGATGATGGTGTTGGTGATGATGGTGATGATGGTGGAGGTGATAATAGTGATAGTGATGGTGATGATGGTGGTGATGGTGGTGGTGGTGGTGGCAGTGATGATGGTGTTGGTGATGATGGTGGTGGTGGTGGAGGTGATGATAGTAGTGATGGTGTTGGTGATGGTGTTGGTGATGATGGTGGTGATGGTGGAGGTGATGATAATAGTGATGGTGATGGTGATGATGGTGGTGATGATGGTGGAGGTGATAATAGTGATGGTGTTGGTGATGATGGTGGTGATGGTGGTGGTGGTGGTAGTGGTGATTGTCATAATGGTGATGGTAGAGATGATGATGATGATGATGATGATAGTGATGGTTCTGTGGGTTTGGGAGTGGACGAGAGAGAATGACACAGAAAGTGGAGGACGGGTGAGGCTTCTTAGGATGCCCTCCCCCCGGATTCCTCTCCCAGCATCCTCTACCCGAAGCACATTCTCAGATTTTTTTTCCCCTAGGAAGAAAAAGGCAATTTGAGATCCCTGGAATTTGCCTGGAGAAATTTCTGCAGTTCTCAGGCAAAGTGTTCCTGTTTGTCCAATTCTACAAGAGTTTCCAGGCTCATGGCTGGAACCTTCAGAGTCTTTATCCTTCAGCATGCAAGATGGGAACCGGGCGTGTCTCTCTGCATCTCCCAAAGTTCCAAATCTCCTTAGCACCCTCGATGCCTTCTGCATCTAAGTTGGTATAAGAACACGTATCAGGAGTGAGTTTACCAGGCACCAACGGGAGGCCAGGTGTGCTGTATTTGGAAACTTTCTCATGTTGCTGTGTAAAGAAGTCCAGAATGTGTAGGTTTCTGCACATATCCCTGACTCCCAGTCAGCATCAATGAAGTCAAATGGGACCTTGTGATTGGAATCAAGGAGTAGTTGTCGAGGGAAGGTCTGCACCTAGTGTCTGTTCACTACGGAGGGCAGCCATGCACCTAGTGTCTGTTCACTGTGGAGGGCAGCTATGCACCTAGTGTCTGTTCACTACGGAGGGCAGCTATGCACCTAGTGTCTGTTCACTACGGAGGGCAGCTATGCACCTAGTGTTTATTCATTGTGAGGACAGCTATGCACCTAGTGTGTATTCATTGTGAGGGACAGCTATGCACCTAGTGTTTATTCATTGTGAGGGCAGCTGTGCACCTAGTGTGTATTCATTGTGAGGGCAGCTATGCACCTAGTGTGTATTCATTGTGAGGTACAGCTATGCACCTAGTGTGTATTTATTGTGAGCGGCAGCTATGCACCTAGTGTGTATTCATTGTGAGGGGCAGCTATGCACCTAGTGTGTATTCATTGTGAGGTACAGCTATGCACCTAGTGTGTATTCATTGTGAGGACAGATACGCACCTAGTGTTTATTCATTGTGAGGACAGCTATGCACCTAGTGTGTATTCATTGTGAGGGCAGCTATGCACCTAGTGTGTATTCATTGTGAGGACAGCTATGCACCTAGTGTGTATTCATTGTGAGGGCAGCTATGCACCTAGTGTTTATTCATTGTGAGGGCAGCTATGCACCTAGTGTGTATTCACTGTGAGGACAGCTATGCACCTAGTGTGTATTCATTGTGAGGGCAGCTATGCACCTAGTGTTTATTCATTGTGAGGACAGCTATGCACCTAGTGTTTATTCATTGTGAGGGCAGCTATGTACCTTTTGTGTATTCATTGGGAGGACAGCTATGCCCCTAGTGTTTATTGTCAGGACAGCTATGCACCTAGTGTTTATTCATTGTGAGAGCAGCTATGCACCTAGTGTTTATTCATTGTGAGGGCAGCTATGCATCTAGTGTGTATTCATTGTGAGGACAGCTATGCACCTAATGTTTATTCATTGTGAGGGCAGCTATGCACCTAGTGTTTATTCATTGTGAGGGCAGCTATGCTCCTAGTGTTTATGTATTGCGGAGGGCAGCTATGCACCTAATGTTTCTTTGTTATAGGGAACATGAGACAGACTACCTGGGGTTGAACCCTTGCTGCCCACTGTGTTCCTGCCTGAATCACTTTCACTTGCTGTGCCTCAGTTTCCTTATCTGAGAGTCAGAGGTAGTAATATTAATAACCCTCCCTCACAGAGTGAGGATTAAATGTGGTCGTGTTCAGCATTTCCAATAGTGCAAATAGCAAGCACGTGATAGGTGCTGTTTTGAACCCGATTCTGAGGTCTCCTCTACTGTACATACGCTTATTATTTTATTTCAGGTGAAGCTCACATAACATGAACTAACAATCTTATTAACCACTCCAAAGTGTACAATTAAGTGGCACTTATTGTGTTTCCAGTGGCATGCAGCTACCACCTCTGTCTAGCTTCAAAACACATTCATCATCCCAGAAACAAACCCTGTTTTCATTAGCAGTCACCCTCCATTCCTTCCCATGAATCCACTTTCTGCCGCTGTGGGTTTGCCTGTCCTGGACATTTCCAGCCATACAGTATATGGCCTTTCATGCCTGGCTTCTTTCCCTTGGTGCAGTGCTTGTAAGCTCCATCCATGTTGGAATATGGGTCAGGGCTTCATCCCTTTTGATGGTTGAATGACTTTCCATGGTATGGACATTCTGGCATTGAGAGAGTTAAGTTCCCGGGGTGGAGGTGTGGGCAGGAGTGAATACACGCTTCCAAGGAGCTGCTGCAAAGAAACTCAAGCTGTTCTCTCTCCACCTCTGCATCATGACATCAACACCATGACATAATCAACACCAAAATATCATCAACGCCATGACATTATCAACACCATGACATCATCAACACCATATCATGAACACCATGACATCAACACCATGACATCACCAACACCAAAACAGCAATGCCATGACATCATCAACACCAAAATATCATCAACGCCATGACATTATCAACACCATGACATCATCAACACCATATCATGAACACCATGACATCAACACCATGACATCACCAACACCAAAACAGCAATGCCATGACATCATCAACACCAAAATATCATCAATGCCGTGACATTATCAACACTCTGACATCATCAACACCAAAATATCATCAATGCCATGACATCATCAACACCATGACATCATCAACACTCTGACATCATCAACACCATGATATCATTAACATAATATCAACACCATGAGTCACCACGACTGCTACATCATCAACAGCATGACATCAACACCATGACATCAGCAACACAACATCAACATAACAGCAACACTCTGACACCAACATCATGACATCATTAACACCATGACATCGTTAACACTATGACATCATTAACACCAGGACATCAACACCACATCATCAACACCAAAACATCAACACCATGACATCATCAACACTATGACATCATCAACAGTATATCAGGAACACCATGATCTTAACACCATGACATCATCAACACCATGACATCACCATATTAACACCATGACATCAACACCACAACACCACATCAACGCCATGACACAAACACTATGAAGTCCTTAACACCATGACATCATCAACACCATGACATCATCAACACCATGACATCAGCACCATATCAACACCACATCCTCAACACCATTACATCCTCAACACCACATCATCTACACCATGACATCACCAACACCATGATATCAACGCCACAGCATCATCAACACCACAACATTGTCATCGCCAGACTAACACCATGGCATCAACACGACAACATCATCAACACGACATCAACACCATGTCATTAATACCATGACATCATCAACAGCACGTCATCACCACAGGATCTTCAACACCACGACATCATCAATATGGAAGACTCCTGTGAGCAAATGCAGGGTTGGGTCTTCCCCACACCACCAGGTGAGCAACAGTCCTGCAGCGGACACCAGGGCGAGTCCTGTCATTCCATTCTGACCCTTGTACCTGGAGACAGCGTCAGATCACACAGGGTGAGGGCTCAGTTCCTAAGACCATGCCCCATCCCCGACACAAGCTGCACATCTGGGCCTTCTTGAAGTTGGGGGTTCCCACAACCCCCTCTTTGGGTTTGATTAATTTGCTAGAGTGACTCACGGGACTCAGGGAAGCACTTATGTTTCCTGGTTTATTATAAGTGACATTGAAAAGAATGCACATGAAGAGATGCACAGGCGAGGCACGGGGAAGGGGTGTGGAGCTGCCGTGCGTGCCCTGGGGACCCCCTCTGGGTGTGGAGCTGCCGTGCCCTCCCGGGGACCCCCTCCGGGAGCCTCCACGTGGTCAGCTTTCTGAATGCTCCCGGAACCCTGTCCTCTTCGGCCTCTGATGGAGACAGCATTGGACAGGAATGATTGACAGCCGTGTAGAAATGCGACTGGACAGGCAGGTGTGGTGTGAACCCAGCAGGGCCAGTCTGTCCAGATTCTTCTTCTTCTTTCTTTTTTGAGATGGAGTCTTATTCTGTTGCCCAGGCTGGAGTGCAGTGGTATGATCTTGGCTCACTGCAACCTCCGCCTCCCAAGTTCAAGCAATCCTCCTGCCTCAGCACCCCAGTAGCTGGGATTAGACGTGCACGTAGCCATGCCGGACTAATTTTTGTGTTTTCAGTACAGATGAGGTTTTGCCATATTGGTCAGGCTGACCTCAAATGACCCGCCTGCCTCGGCCTCCCACAGTGCCGGGATTATAGGCGTGAGCCACCGCGCCTGACCACATTCTTCTTGGCTTCTCGGCCGCGTTTCTTCCTCCAGGGGATGGGGCAGAACCCTTCCTGGAATGAGGGTCTTCTGACCCACCGTCAGATCAGGGCCTTGAGGTTCTGCTTCCTGAGGCCTACTTTGAGACGAAAATTGCCCCAGTGTGATAAGAAAAGGCTGTAACCAGGGCCGTGTGAGTTACGAGCCAGGAACCGTGGTTGAAAACACAAATTTATTCCTCGGTGAAGCTCACATACATTAGCTGTGTTATCAGCTGCGCCAGAGCGCACAATTCAGTGGCATTTAGTGCACCGTGGATGGAAACAGCAGGGAGTCGGGGGTGCTACCGCTCGCTCTGGGCCTCTCACGGGGTGTGTCTCACCCTTTGGCACTGAAGTCTCCATCCTCTGCGTCTGTCAGAGCCCCTCCAGCAATTCCTTGGGTCAAGCATGTGGGATTCACAGCTCAGTGCTGTGTGACCTCAGCTGCCCCCAGCCCTCCTCCTCATACTCCCACCTTGGCCAGTGCCCACCTGGGGTTCTCTCTGCTCCTCCAAGCTGCCGAGCTTATCCCCACCACAAGGCCTCCGCCTCGCCACCCCAGCCTGGCGGGCTTTGCTCTGGGAGCTGTGCCTGCTACTCCCTGTAGTTTTGGGTCTTGCTCGGGTGACGCCTCCTTGGGGCAGCCTTCCCCCACCACCTTCCCCAGGCCCTCCTGCTGCAAGCGTCCTCCCTGCATTTATGCTGCGGGGGTCCTTTATCTTCTCCCTGTTCACCGTCACGGGTCCCCCAGGAAGCTCTGGGAGGGAGGCGCTGGTTCTGTGTGCACACCTGTCCCGGGCTGGCACTCCAGGCAGAGCTGCTGTGGAAGGCAGTAGCCCCAGACACCCCCATCGCATCTTTTGCGTTCTCCTTCCTCCCTGTAGACCTGTGCCAGTAAACAGGGAACATGCAATGAGGGGTGGAGGCTGAGATAAACACACAGTGATTCAGAAACTTCTGCTCCTGTGCAGCGGCTGCCCCCGGGTGCTCAGTGGCGGGGCTGTGACTGCCTGTGGATGTTGTGCGGGGCAGCCTGGACCCCACTACGGAGGGCTTGCCTCCTGTCCCTGCCCTCTCTGCCTGCAGGGGGAGGGTTCTGCACTGCCATCCTGGGGATGACGCAGGCGTCCGGGCGTGGGAAACGGTGGCTGGCTGGAGCGACCACTCTCCAGCCTTGTCCTAGCAGACAGCACCATCTGCTGGGCCCTGGGTTTGTGTCTGCAGCCGGACAGGCTCTAGCGGTGTTCTGCCCGATTTAGTGATGTGAGGTGGCGTTGTCACCTGCTGTATACCAGGCGCCATGCTGGCAGGTGGTCCACAGCGTGGGTGAGGCCGTCTGCTCACATCCTGCACTGAGCTGTGTGTGGAGTGGGACCTGTGGGACTTGGATGACGCTGGAGGTGCAGGCCCCACCAGGCTCAGGGAGGGGTGTCTGCTGCTCCGAGGCCTTGGGGGGCTGCCCACTCACCACACGATCACCCCCCACATGAGGGGTGAGCGCCCACCGCAGTGCCCACCTCCAGACAGACATCGCTGCCTTCCTGCAGCTCCGTTTTGGGCAGGGAGCACAGATGAGACGCATTGGGCAGCTGAGGTCATCTCAGTTCGTGGGTGGGAAGGAAATCAACAGGCTGCTGTGGACAGTGCCTGGGGGTGATGGTAGATGAGGGACTCTACACAGGGGGCATCAGCCACGGGAGGGGAACGGCATCACTGTCCCAGGAACAGCAAAACCGAGTCCGAGTGTGGCACCCACGGCCATCAGAGGAGGCAAAAGGAGGCGGCTGGGAGGGAGGTAGAGGCTCAGGCAGAGCCTGCTGGGCTCGACATTCTATTCTAAGTGCCATGGGAAGCTGAGGTTGGGCTTCAGGCAGCATCGTGGCAGGACCCGACTGAGGCTTTCTATGTGGCTGACAAAGGAATCCAACATTCCTGACATGGGTGAATGGGGAGAAAAGTGATGGGCAGTTTCCAGAGGTCAAGGTTAAGGGGACTCCCATGGATGGGCTGCATCCTGGGACCAGCAAAGTGGGAAGCAGTCGCCTCACCTAGGTCTGCAAAGGCCAGAGAGGGAGCAGTCCCAGAGGCCCACAGAGTAGGGCCGAGGACAGGGGAGGACACAGGAGCACGAGGCGCTGCCCAGGGGAGGACACAGGAGCACGAGGCACTGCCCGGGGAGCAGGCGGTGCAGTCGCCCTCGGACCTGGCCTGCAGGGGCGGGGCAGGAAATGACAAACACCCACCTCTTCTCCTGGGGATGGCAGCTCCTGGGGTACCATGTCCACGGGGGTCCTCGGGGTGGAAGGCAGACCTGGAGGGGCAGACACTCTCAGCTTCCAGAAAACCTTGGCTCTGAGGAAGTCACACCGAGAGAGATGCCTATTGCTGGAGAGATCCCGGTTTCTGATATAATCACCTTATGTCCATGTCTCTGGGGCATCTGGGGAGGTGATGTGGTCCCTCCAAAGGGAATGAACTGGGAGGGGATGTTGGCCCCAGGAGGCTGTCACTGTGGTAACCACATCTCCCCTTGCCCTTTCAGCCTCCTCCTGTGGGACCCACTTCCCTGCCCTGCATTGAAAGGGGTGGCTCACGAGTATTTCTAGACAAGGAACCTCTGCCAATGCAGCCCCAGGCAATGAGCTAAGCTCTCAGTGTAGCTTGGCACCTCACTCCCCTCTAAGCTCTGGGCTGGGGCTTGAGCAGGGGCTGGGCCAGGGTCCTCCGTCAGCTCCCTGCTCAGCCCCACATAGGCTGGTTGTGGTTTTGCTCCCCACTGCAGGCAAAGGAGGGCCAAGGAAGAGGGGTAAAGAGACAGGGCTGGGCTGTGGAGACAGGGCTGGGCTGTGGAGGCTGGGTGGGCTGTGGAGGCTGGGTGGGTTGTGGAGGCTGCGTGGGCTGTGGGGGCTGTGGAGGCTGGGTAGGCTGTGGTGGCTGCATGGGCTCTGGAGGCTGGGTGTGCTGTGGAGGTTGCATGGGCTCTGGAGGCTGGGTGTGCTATGGAGGCTGGGTGGGCTGTGGAGGCTAGGTGGGCTGTGGAGCCTGGGTGTGCTGTGGAGGCTGCGTGGGCTCTAGAGGCTGGGTGTGCTGTGGAGGCTGCGTGGGCTCTGGAGGCTGGGTGTGCTATGGAGGCTGCATGGGCTCTGGAGGCTGGGTGTGCTATGGAGGCTGCATGGGCTCTGGAGGCTGGGTGTGCTATGGAGGCTGGGTGGGCTGTGGAGGCTAGGTGGGCTGTGGAGGCTGGGTGTGCTGTGGAGGCTGCGTGGGCTCTAGAGGCTGGGTGGGCTGTGGAGGCTGCGTGGGCTGTGGAGGCTGGGTGGGCTGTGGAGGCTGCGTGGGCTGTGGAGGCTGGGTGTGCTCTGGAGGCTGTGTGGGCTGTGGAGGCTGGGTGGGCTGTGGAGGCTGTGTGGGCTCTGGAGGCTGGGTGGGCTGTGGAGGCTGGGTGGGCTGTGGAGGCTGGGTGGGCTCTGGAGGCTGGGTGGGCTGTGGTGGCTGCGTGGGCTGTGGTGGCTGCGTGGGCTGTGGAGGCTGGGTGGGCTGTGGAGGCTGGGTGGGCTGTGGAGGCTGTGTGGGCTGTGGAGGCTGCGTGGGCTGTGGAGGCTGGGTGGGCTCTGGAGGCTGGGTGGGCTGTGGTGGCTGCATGGGCTGTGGTGGCTGCATGGGCTGTGGAGGCTGGGTGGGCTGTGGAGGCTGGGTGGGCTGTGGAGGCTGTGTGGGCTCTGGAGGCTGGGTGGGCTGTGGAGGCTGGGTGGGCTGTGGAGGCTGGGTGTGCTGTGGAGGCTGGGTGTGCTGTGGAGGCTGCATGGGCTGTGGCGTTTGGGTGGGCTGTGGTGTTTGGGTGGGCTGTGGCGGTTGGGTGGGCTGTGGCGGTTGGCTTTAGGTACCAGCTTGGCTAGGCCATGGCACCCCATTGTCTAATCACACATGAATCTCTGTGCACCCGGGAAGGTATTCTGTAGACGTGGTGGATGTGTCCTGTCACCTGACTTTAGTAAGGGTGATTGTCCTCCACAGCGTGAGGCCTGATGCACAGAAGCTGAGGTTTCTCAGAGGAGGAGACATTCTGCCCCAAGACTTTAGCCTCAGCCACATATCCACGGATACCTCCATGTCCACACCTCCATCTACATCCATGCCTGCGTGTCCACACACATCCAAATCTGTGTCCATGCCTGAATGTACACACGCATCCACATCTGTGTCCATGCCTGCATGTACACACACATCCACATCTGTGTCCAAGCCTGCATCCACATCTGAGCCTATGTCTACATCCATGCCTACAACCACTCCATATCTACACCCACATCCATATCTACACCTACCTCCATGTCTTCACCCACATTCGTGCCTACACCAACATCCATATCTACACCAACATCTGTGTCTACATCCACATCCATATCTACATCCACATCCATGTCTACACCCACATCCATGTCTACACTGACATCCATGCCTATATTTATATCCATATCTACACCCACATCCATATCTAAACCTACCTCCATATCTTCACCCACGTTCGTGTCTATATCCACATCCATGTCTACACCGACATCCATGCCTATATTTATATCCATATCTACACCCACATCCATGTATACACCCACATCCATGCCTATATTTATATCCATATCTACACCCACATCCATATCTACACCCACATCCATGTCTACACCCACATCCATGTATACACCCACATCCATGCCTATATTTATATCCATATGTACACCCACATCCATATCTACACCCACATCCATGTCTACACCCACATCCATGTCTACACCCACATCCATGTCTACACTGACATCCATGCCTATATTTATATCCATATCTACACCCACATCCATGTCTACACCTACATCCATATCTACACCCACATCCATGTCTACACCCACATCCATGCCTATATTTATATCCATATCTACACCCACATCCATGTCTACACCTACATCCATATCTACACCCACATCCATGTCTACACCCACATCCATGCCTATATTTATATCCATATCTACACCCACATCCATATCTAAACCCACATCCATGTCTACACCCACATCCATGTCTACACCCACATCCATGACTATATTTATTTCCATATCTACACCCACATCCATGTCTACACCCACATCCATGTCTACACCCACATCCATGACTATATTTATGTCCATATCTACACCCACATCCATGTCTACACCCACATCCATGTCTACACCCACATCCATGCCTATATTTATATCCATATCTGCACCCACATCCATGTCTACACCCACATCCATGTCTACACCCACAACCATGCCTATATTTATGTCCATATCTACACCCACATCCATGTCTACACCCACATCCATGTCTACACCCACATCCATGCCTATATTTATATCCATATCTACACCCACATCCATATCTAAACCTACCTCCATATCTTCACCCACATTCGTGTCTATATCCACATCCATGTCTACACCGACATCCATGTCTACACCCACATCCATGACTATATTTATGTCCATATCTACACCCACATCCATGTCTACACCCACATCCATGTCTACACCCACATCCATGCCTATATTTATGTCCATATCTACACCCACATCCATGTCTACACCCACATCCATGACTATATTTATGTCCATATCTACACCCACATCCATGTCTACACCCACATCCATGTCTACACCCACATCCATGCCTATATTTATGTCCATATCTACACCCACATCCATGTCTACACCCACATCCATGCCTATATTTATATCCATATCTACACCCACATCCATATCTAAACCTACCTCCATATCTTCACCCACATTCGTGTCTATATCCACATCCATGTCTACACCGACATCCATGTCTACACCCACATCCATGCCTATATTTATGTCCATATCTACACCCACATCCATGTCTACACCCACATCCATGTCTATACCCACATCCATGCCTATATTTATATCCATATCTACACCCACATTGATATCTATACTCACATCCGTATCTACATCTCCATCCATGTCTACACCCACATCCGCATCTGTATCCACATCCATGCCTATGTCCATGTCCATGTCTGATCTGTACTCACAGCCACAGCTGTATCCTCCTCATATCCTTTTCCATATCTGTCTCCATGTTCATGTGCATATCTGTCTATACCTCTCTCCACACTTATGCCCATAGCCACATCTGTGTCTACATTTATGTCTGTATTCACATCCTTATCTGTATCTATACTCACTTCTATGCCTAAATCTGTACCCATATCTGTATTTTCATCTCTGTATCCATCCCACGTTCATGTCCGCATCCACACCTCTATCTATATCAATATCCATCCATTTCCATCTGTATCGATGTAGGTGCATCTTCATCTCTGTATCCATCCCACGTTCATGTCCGCATCCACACCTCTATCTATATCAATATCCATCCATTTCCATCTGTATCCATGTAGGTGCATCTTCATCTCTGTATCCATCCCACGTTCATGTCCGCATCCACACCTCTATCTATATCAATATCCATCCATTTCCATCTGTATCCATGTAGGTGCATCTTCATCTCTGTATCCATCCCACGTTCATGTCCGCATCCACACCTCTATCTATATCAATATCCATCCATTTCCATCTGTATCCATGTAGGTGCATCTTCATCTCTGTATCCATCCCATGTTCATGTCCGCATCCACACGTCTATCTATATCAATATCCATCCATTTCCATCTGTATCCATGTAGATGCATCTCTGTATCCATCCCACGTTCATGTCCGCATCCACACCTCTATCTATATCAATATCCATCCATTTCCATCTGTATCCATGTAGGTGCATCTTCATCTCTGTATCCATCCCACGTTCATGTCCGCATCCACACCTCTATCTATATCAATATCCATCCATTTCCATCTGTATCCATGTAGATGCATCTTCATCTCTGTATCCATCCCACGTTCATGTCCGCATCCACACCTCTATCTATATCAATATCCATCCATTTCCATCTGTATCCATGTAGGTGCATCTTCATCTCTGTATCCATCCCATGTTCATGTCCGCATCCACACGTCTATCTATATCAATATCCATCCATTTCCATCTGTATCCATGTAGATGCATCTCTGTATCCATCCCACGTTCATGTCCGCATCCACACCTCTATCTATATCAATATCCATCCATTTCCATCTGTATCCATGTAGGTGCATCTTCATCTCTGTATCCATCCCACGTTCATGTCCGCATCCACACCTCTATCTATATCAATATCCATCCATTTCCATCTGTATCCATGTAGATGCATCTTCATCTCTGTATCCATCCCACATTCATGTCCGCATCCACACCTCTATCTATATCAATATCCATCCATTTCCATCTGTATCCATGTAGGTGCATCTTCATCTCTGTATCCATCCCACGTTCATGTCCGCATCCACACCTCTATCTATATCAATATCCATCCATTTCCATCTGTATCCATGTAGATGCATCTCTGTATCCATCCCACGTTCATGTCCGCATCCACACCTCTATCTATATCAATATCCATCCATTTCCATCTGTATCAATGTAGGTGCATCTTCATCTCTGTATCCATCCCACGTTCATGTTCGCATCCACACCTCTATCTATATCAATATCCATCCATTTCCATCTGTATCCATGTAGATGCATCTCTGTATCCATCCCACGTTCATGTCCACATCCACACCTCTATCTATATCAATATCCATCCATTTCCATCTGTATCCATGTAGATGCATCTCTGTATCCATCCCATGTTCATGTCCGCATCCACACCTCTATCTATATCAATATCCATCCATTTCCATCTGTATCGATGTAGA